CGAGAGAAAATGAAGAGAGAGAGAGAGAGACAAAGAACATAGAGAAGATTTTGGTGCGTGTCTTGTGGGTTTAACCACATGATCTTAAGCCTAATGTTTGAAAATGTTTTTTATTTTTTATTTTTTTCAGACATTCTTGGTCTCTGTTTCTTTTTTCTTATCCTTTTTTTTAATTAAATGTGGGACTGTCACGTATTAATAGCCGATGTCTTCGGGGAGAAAAAAAAAAAAACAATTAAAAAATATATAAGGACCAAAAAAAGGAGTAAAATAATTAAAAGATGATCAAAAAATTAGTCATCAATAATGGGTTTCAAAACTAATTACAAAAATATCTTCTTTTTTTTGTCTCTATTTAGATTCTTCTCAACGTACTTAAAGTTCTTTTTATATATAAATAATTAAATGATTAAAAAGAAAAAGTGACATATTTTTATAATTATTTAAAAAAAACAACTGTTATTTTACTAAATTATTATTAATCTAATTTTGATTAAAAAATAGAAAGGTGCATTGGGAAACAAAAAGAAGGGTATCGGTACGGATTTCATGGAAAAAGGGGTTTTGAAGAAACTCAAAATCAAAATCAAAATCAGACGTGAAAAAACAAACCTTTTTCTCTCAGATTTGGTTCTGTTGGGTTTCCCATTTCCATGTTTTTTTTTTCTAATTATTATTTTTTTAAAAAGGGTGGGTAGGGGTTGGTTGGTTGACTTTTAAGAAATGGTCAAATCAACCTGATCCAATATTCAATCCAATTTGAATTTGGTCAAAACATCGTCCACTGGGGTGAAGTCGTTGAATAAAAAACAAAGTAAACCAATTCGATCCATGTAAGACATTTAAAGGTAACAAGAGATTTTATTAAAAATGAGTGGTATTGAAATGCATAAGAATTTTGTTGTTTGAGCGTACAAATATCAACAAAATTATGTGTTAATTTGATTCCAAATGTTATGATCCCATTTGATGTGGAGGAGTATATACCCTTTTCCCGGGGCCGTGTTGATGAAATGAAATCTCTCCAATTTTCGAGCGATTTCGGTGAGGTTGAGGCCTGAGGGGACACCTCAAGGATTGATTGGGGGAATGCGAATTGCTTCCCGTCGAACAACAACATTCTTTTCAGTGATTCGCATCTCCACCAATCTCCCCTGAATCTCGCCTCCTCTGATCCTTCTCTATCGATCTCGCAGCCGGTCCTCCTCCTCCTCCTCCTCCTCTCCGCCGCAGCATCTCAATATGATCAGGTTTTTAATTCATTCTCCGATTCTTCAATGTCAAATCCTTTCTGGATTTTTCCTTGTTCTTGTGATCTGGTTCTTGAAATCTCGAATTTGGAAACCCTATATTCATCGTATTTGTTTTAATCCATTCCGCTTCTAGGTTAAGATTGCGATCATTAAAAAATTCTATTATATATTGAATAATGAGCATGAGTGTTTGGTTGACTCTTTGAATATTCTAATTTTTTATTTGTGGGGATGCTCGATGATTCGTATAGCGTATTCAATTTTGTGGTATACATAGCTGTATTGCTGCTGCTGCTGCTGCTCCCACCAAACTAACATGAAAAGGCAATCCTGTTGCTATTTGTAAGGATCCAAAATCTGCAATGTAATTAGATGAAACTTCAATTTTCTCTGTTTGAAATGATCTCTGCCTCACCCTTCCTTCATTAACAAGGTTATTGAATCGAGTTGTACTTGATTAAACAATGATTCGCTAAAAGAAGCAAGTCTGATAGGCAGTGGAAATAGTTGGTACTCGAGTTTCTTCTCTACTAACCAAACGCCCAAAAGTATGCAAGTGTATATGATTTTTCTGGGAATGTTGATTTCTTCAAATGAAGATTTGATTAAGAAGATTTTTACCTGTGCAGTTCAACATAGGGGTTTGCACTGGACATAGTTATATTGTTCGATGCCAGCAGAGTGTTGCTGGCATTGAGAATGATTCGGCTTGTTACTGAAACTCTGATGGGTATCTATAATAAATCGAACTCTAGTAGAGCCCTTGAAGGTCTGCATGGTGTTGCTGTGGTGCCTGGTTCACAACAATTCGCCTTGGAAAAGGCTTCACGAGATGGGGATTTTTCTTCATTGAGTTGTGGGAGTTCATCAGCTTTAAGTGTGAATCAGTAAGTTGACATGAAAACTGATAGAGCTTTGTATTATTTGTTCACAAACAGCTTACAAGATTAGGATGTTCATAGAGCTCTTACCAATTAACGGTTTGTTCATGATCTTCAGATGGGTATGGGAGCAGAGACCATCCTGTTTGAGACCTGTTGGGGGTTGTATACAAGGTATAGTCTTGAAATCTCTTCACCTTCGTAGTCATACATCATCTCGCAATGCTGGATTTAATGCTGGATTTTATGTGAGATCCTATATTGGTTGGAGAGGAAAACGAAACATCCTTTATAAGAATGTGGAAACCTCTCCCAGTTAGACGCTCTTTTAAAAACCTTGAGCGGAAACCCGGAATGGAAAACCCAAAGAGAACAATATCTGCTAGCGGTGTGCTTGGGCTGTTACAAATGGTATCAAAGCCAAACACCAGGCAGTGTGCTAGCGAGCTCCGAAGAGGGAGGGATTATGAGATCCACATCAATTGGAGAAAGGAAGGGAAAACCTAGGGAAAACCCGAGGACTTAAAAGAGAGTCCCAAGGCTTTAGTACTATTTATAAATGGCTTCAAAATGTTTATCCTCTTGTTATTTGGTTGGTAGGTGATCGGAATATGGCGGAGAGGGTGGCTAACGTGCTTACCTCACTTCCTTTTATTGCTCTTGGAATTCAGGCACCAAGGTAGGTAACTACTGCCCAAAGTTTTCGACATATGTGTGTGTAGGTGCTTGTCTGATTATTTGGCTGTTTACTTGGAACACAGGAAGAATTTCCCAACGAGGCTATATGCTAATTCATTGATTGGAGTAGGAGTTGCTTCAAGTTTATATCATTCTTCCAGAGGAAAATTGAGACAATACCTAAGATGGGCCGACTACACAATGATCGCTACAGCCACGGTGGTAAGTTTGTAATGGATTTGTTTATTGGCATAAGACAAAAGTGTAACAACCCTAGATTTCTACTAACCTAAAGCCGTTACCGTCATCATAATCTATACTCTTATGCGGAATTAAACATTTAATACTTTATCATAAAACACTACCATGGACTTATGTGTTCGAAAACATCTTTAAAACAACATAACGAAATACTAAATGAAATAAACAAACAATAAAAGTAAAAACACCCTATGCTAACCTAAAGTCTAAGAAATAAAATACCACTATTCTATACATATGTCATGGTCTTGACTTGCGATGTCGTTGTCAGTTAAACAGGGATGCATTGCCTTTACCTGAAATAAAAGTAGCACACTGCTTGAGTATTTTAAGTGACCCCACTATTGGTATCAGGGAATGCAAACACATGCAACTCATTATTAAGGACTTATCGTGAAAACCATCATAGGGGTGACCTCCAGTTCGGACAAAATTGGATGTGTAGTACTTCTCTACACACGACCCACATGTGCGAGTGTGGATCCCTAAGTGTTTCGCACCCCCCTAGACCCATCATAGTCAAGCTAGCATTTGTAGCGATGTTCGGAGATCTGCAAACTTCGAGTGTCATGCGAGGCATGATGATGATGATCATCATCATAGTGTACACGTTTGTACTTATCATCATCATAGTGTACACGTCCGTATTCATCATCATCAATGGGGAAGTATCCCGATGTATATAACAGTGGGCTTGCTGGGTTGGAGAACGAATCCCACATCGGTTGAGGTGGAGAACGAATCATTCTTTACATGGGTGTGGAAATATTTCTCTAACAGACACGTTTTAAAAAACCTTGAGGAAAGTCCAAAAAAAAGGACCCTATCAAAAAGGAGTGGGCTTGCTGTTACAAAAGGGCTAGTTTTCTGAGTTACCAACTCATATAAGGCTTAAAACTTGCTACCATGGGCTATGAGGTGTTTTACTTAGAGTTGGTTTTGTATGCTTATTTGAACTTAGATTTTCTCATGTCTCAAACTATATTGCAGTGTCTGACAGGAGCTTTAAGAAACGACAACCCGAGGATGTTGATGGCTGCATCTGCATTTCTATTGCCTTTGAGGCCCTTTACGGTTTCAGCACTTCACACTGGGATGATGGAGGTAACATTTTGCTCATGCCTTTGCATGATTAATTGGTCAATATTGATATTGATATGTTTGATTACGAAACTCAGGTAATGTTTGCAAAAAGAGCTTTGAAGGATCCAGATTTGAGGATGGCTCACAACGTGCATAAAGTGTCGACGCTGTTAGGTGGTGTTCTTTTCGTTGCTGATGATGCTTTGCCCCAAACTCCATTCATTCATGCAGCTTGGCATCTTGCTGCTGCTGTTGGTGTTGGAACCTGCAATAAGCTTCTTGAGTGATTAATTGTGTTCATATACGAAACATAAATTTGTCGACGCCTCAGCCTCTTGAGTGATTAATTGTGTTCATATACAAAACATAAATTTGTCGACGCCTCAGCCTCTTGCTTTCTTGGAGTAGTTGTTCACAATTATTTTTCTTTCAAATGGGATTAAAACAACCTTACAATTTTTTTTGTTTTTATATTTCACCGCCTAAGTGAGACACGTTAGAACATCAATATTTGAACTTCACGACACTATTTTGCATTCATTTTAGTGGGGAAGCTATGAAGCGGTTGTCTTGAAATAATTTTGAATGTCAAGTGTTGAAATGAAACGTTGTGAATCAATAAGATTGAAACTTAGCATATAATTGTATTATTGTACATGTTGAACTTTCCATTGCAATTTTTTATCCCATGTTTTTATTAAAATTAAACTCAATTAATGCATTAATTGACAAAAACATGCTACACTGCAAGTAATAGGTAATATGTCTCAAGAAAATACGATATCCAAATACGATATCCAAATTTTGAATCCTGAGAACAATGAAAATCTAATTTGCAACAGGATTCCCAAGAGGAAGTATAGTACAATTAATAGCAAATAAGGGTTGAAAGACCAGTTGTTGAAAAGTAAAATATTGACTGAAAATTGGATGATCTAAGAAAACTACACTCACTTTTACAGTATAAATCTGAAGTCTATCTAACATCCTATCACAAAGAACATCTCAAAAACAAAGAGACCACAAAACCAAAAACACTATGGTTAGATACAGCAGCAGCTTCACTTCCAAATGCCTCAGTCAAGACCCAATATGCTCTCATCAACCCATTTCTTGCTGTGTCAGAAGGTGAAAAAAAATGAAAGAATCACAAAAGAAAATGTTGGGTTAGCAGCAACAACAACAATACATTTCCACTCTCAACCAATCACGAGGCTAACGATGATTTCGTATCGTTTGATTTGTTTGTAAAACACATGCAATCTGGACAAGGGAAGGTGTATATCGAGTCGTTCGGCCTTTTGAGATCAAATCCCTTGGAATCACTATGACTCCTCATGCTCAACATTTGTCTCTTGAAATTTTTCCACCTGGGAAACAAAAAACAAATGAGCAAAACATAGTTAAATCATCATGCTCATGAGTAAGTAAGACATACCCAATGGCAGGGTTATCAAAAAGCAATGCCAACTTGCGTTTGTCCGGCCTGATAGTTTTGGAGTGTCCGCCGTACAAATATCTTCTATGACCCATCAGAAAATGAGGGAAGTTGCCTCCCTGTGTCGTCACGAACACCTCGCTGTGGAGACAAACCGTATAGTCTATAGCAGCCATCCTCGAAGAGAAGTTCTGAAAGCAAATATGGTGTCCATAAAAACTTCACAATATAAAAGAACTTAACTCAAAATTCAACCTTGAATGGGGAAAGTTCTTCAGGTGATGCCAGCATTTCCTTCGTAAGCAGATTCGGAAACATCTCCAAAAGCGGAGCCATATTTCTCTCCGCGTCGTATATCTTTCCCGATGCCAAATAAATAAATGTGCTATTGTCAAATCCCATTCCCCTGAGCATCAACCCAACCTGTTGAATACAAGAATTACAAACTGCTCTTGAAGCATCATTCATGAAATATAGGTAATAGTACGATGCAAGCACCTCTAATGGAGTCATCGGACATTTTCCGTTAATCCTTATGGCACCAGGACGTATGACTCTGCCCGGTTTTGTGAATTTCCCTTTCCATCCTTTTTCTCTCGCTGCTTTCATGTCTTCCAACTCTTTATGTCCACCATCGAAAATACAACACGAGAACGCAACCATATCCTGTTAACCAAGTTTGAAAGCAGGTTTTCATAAACTCATTTTTCGTAAACTCAAAATACATTCAATTTTTCAAAACATACCTCCTCAAAGCGAAGATGTACAGAAATATACTTGCCACCGTTACTGGCACTGCGTTCTCTCATCCTCGCAACCAAAATCTCTCCCAAGGATAAAATGGGATTAGCGAACCTTAGCGCTTTATAATTTGCTAAACATCGAAGCCGTTGAACAGCAGGAGGAGCATCAAACGACAACCGATTTGCAAAAGGTGAAATTCTTATAACCCTGTAATGAGTGAACTACTCCCAATTATTCCAAAAATTAAGATCAAATATTCACAGTATGAATAACGAGCAGATCAAGACCTCGTTTGATAAGCATATAGTTTTTTGTTTTTGAAAATCAAGCTTATAAACATTACTTTCGTGGATGAATTTCTTCGGTTTGTTGTCTAATTTCTAGGGGTATTTTCAAACTCCAAGCCTAGTTTTTGTCATTTGAATCATATTCCCTTGTTTAATTCAAAAAAATCAAGCCTGTGTGTGTGGTATTTTCAAACTTCAGAATTTGGATATGGACTCAAATGTTTTCTTAAGAAAGATGAAAAACATGGTAAAAAATTGTCAGAAAACAATAACAATTTTCAAAAACCAAATGCTTATCAAACACCTAAGATTCACAAGATAGAGCTTATTCATCATATATTTTGGTTTCTACAATATATATATATATATACATACAAGTCTGTGTGTGTGCGTGTGGTCTTTTTCCTAGTCATACAAAATGGAAATATATGTCCATCGAGGGTTAAGAACAGGAGAGAGAAAAGTGAAGAAGCCTAGGAGTTCACGAACTCACTGTCAAAGCAAAAAAATGTATAGGAAAAAGAATGAAACCTTTTATTTGTAGAGTACCATAAGGGTAAAATAAAACCTTTACACTCCCATACATGTCCTACCTCCTACCTCATTTATTTTCTACCAAATCTTAATGTTCCTAATCTCATCAACTGGATGTCTCCAGCCCATATCCACAAATTTTGAACATTTAGCCATAGTTCATTTCCAAGGGATCATAAAGACACAACCCCGTTTGGATGTATACCGTGAGAATCCCACATTGGTTGCGGAGGAGAACAAAACACTCTTTATAAGGGTGTGGAAACCTACTTAGCAGACATATTTTAAAGCCTTAAGGGGAAGCCCGAAAGGAAAAGTCAAAAGAGGACAATATCTGCTAGCGGTGGGCTTGGGCATGGGCCATTACACATACTGTGTAAAAAGGTCTTAAATTTTTTTAAAGACGTTTTATTTATAAAGAAATTCTAACACCTAGTAAAACTTCTTTGGAGGTTCAAGATTCCAGAGAAGATGAGTAATAGCCCAAGTCCATGCTAACAGATATTGTCCTCTTTGGGCTTTCCTTTCTAGGCTTTCCCTTAAGGTTTTAAAACGTGTCTGTTAGGGAGAGGTTTCCACACCTTTATAAGGAATGCTTCGTTCCCCTCTCCAACCGACGTAGGATCTCACAAGATGAGATTGTTTTTGTTTTTGCTTGCTTACAGAAACCTCTATACTCTAGGGAAGCTCCAAAGGATCTTGGGCCTTCTCCCTCCTTTTGTTGCTTATGTTATAAGGAGGTGGAAAATTTTGGACCATCTCTTCCTTCATTGTCTCTTCATTCACAGAGGGTGGCCCTTCATCCGGAAAGAAATTGATTTACTGATATGCTTCCCTACAAGTGTGGAGCCCTCGTGGGCTGGACCTTTAGAGGGAAGGCTAAGATCTTCTAAAGTTGTGTGGCTAGTGCTATTACTCCTATGTTAGTTTCTCCCTTGCTATCCTTTGTAGCTTTTGGGTGGGAATCCCCTCATCTCCTGGTTCGTAGGTTTTCTAACACTACTCTTACATTATTGGGGCACTAATTTCCATATTCTTTATTGTTCTGAAGCACACTTATAGGTAGAAAATGTGATGGAGGAATCTTCCACAAACATTTAACAATGCAAGTCTATGATTGTCGAGAAACGAAAAGCTAATGGTTAGAACAGAAACACTCACAGTTCTTCAAGTAGTCTCGGAAGCACCATGTCCTTGTAATATTGAATGGACGACCATGCCTTTATTCTGAAGTTGTAGACATTAGTCATGTTGTGGTCAAAGCGTTCCATTATGTATTCCGGAATCTTGTTAACAATGCGTACATCATTCTCTAAGGTCTTGATAAAATATTCCTCATCATATATTTCGCTGAACTTGCTGAACAACAAAACCCAACATTAAATAAATTAGTCTCGGAAGACGGATACATCGTACAAATTTTCTTATCAGCTGGATAACATCAAGCTTCAACATAAGTGTTAAGATTTGTAGTATAAAGTATACTGTAAACAAACCTAGGATCTCTCCAAATGCTGTGGAAATGAAAATTAGGAATTACAAGCGTTGCATTAAGATAGCCAGCCACAGCAACTGCATTGCATATCTACAATAACAACATATAATGAGAAAAAAACGCATTGTTGCAGAGAAAGCTATTTCCTAGAGAACAGTTTCCTTCACGGGGTCGGGTAGTAAGAAACGAAAGGAGATGTAAAAGAAACCAACCGATGTTCTCTGCTGATTTAAACCGCCATTTGCCTCAACATAAATATATCCATTTGACTCAGGTAGGCCTATAAAAATTAAAACAAAACCAGACATATGATTCCAAAGAATAAATGAAACAGTTAATGTCCCAAGAAAGCAAGAACTTTGTAACATTCTGAAAATGATATCGATCATCTATGAAAGGAAGCGGAACTCAGAATGGCTTAAGAGAGCCGCCACCTCTCAAAGCGACTTTGGGGCTAACCTCAAGGATTAAAAAAACTGAGCATCTTTGGCATAAAGTGATTTTTCCACGTTTAAAACGGAATAGAAAAATGGGAATTCCTTGAAATACACATATACAAGAAACAATACATGATTCAGAGTCATTGACAGGTCTCTTACCTCCTGAGGAATTGTTGATACATGGTTTCCACTGACCACCCTTATAGGAGTGTTTCCATATCGTTGATATCTGCGGTTATTTTACGTATTTAACGTCAACAAGAAAGGCATAAAAGACATTGACATATAAGATTCAGAGCATAACATCTTAATAGAGACGAAGAATCGACCAAAGTTTCAAGGAAGAAATAAGTAAAACATAATTTTCCAAAGGTAACACTCTTCATAGATGAAAGGAATTAAAGAATCTCTTTAATTGCACGCCAACAATAGGTGATGAGACCCACAGAAAAGCCAAGTTAGCACACTTCTAAAGTAACTCTTTTCCTGAATTTTTGGTCCCTTTCTGGGCAATACCCTTATAGTTCAATAGATTTCATACCAATAACCAATTTTCTTATCAGACTCCTGTTCATCTACGTTGAGAAAACAGGTATCAAATACTTTAAAACTTAACCTAAGCTCTCTACAAAGGGTTGCAGTGATTTCATACTTTCTAGTCAATTTCTAAGCTTCCGAGAGAGAGTTGTTTGAATTCAAAATCTGCCCAGGCTAACTTAGCATTCCAGAAACATAAATATGGAAGAAATGAGAGTTGTTCATCTATCTCAATATCAACGAAGTCCCTCCCAAAAAGAAAAGTATGAAAAAGATGAGATATTCTTAATAGAGAACACATTTCTTTTCCATAAATTCAAAAAGAAAAAAGAGGAAACGAAACAAAAGAATTCAAATCTTGAGCATCACTCATTGCAATTCGTCAGCATGCAATGTTCAACAAAGAAGAACTATTAAGATTCAAAACTAGGAAGAGTAGATCAAGAAACGATGTCAAATCCAATGGAAAAGAAGCTCACGGGAGACGAATCAACAAATCCCAAGAAACCAATCAAAATCAAATCGAAAATGTAAGGAAGTTCGTACGCAACCACACAGAAAGGGAAAGAAGCAACAAGAAAACAAGACACCCATATCGCGATTCCGATTAATTGGATAAAAACAAATCAAACCCACATCAAGAAAGGCATCACCCAATCGGAATTCGAAACACCCAGAAAGGAAAACAAGAAAATGAAAAACAAACCGCATCAGTGGAAGTGTTGTCAGCATCCATCTCGGAGCGAAGCTTGGCGAGGAGTTGGGGACTTCGATAAACAGAGCCAGGAGCAGGGCGATGATTGATGACTGGAACGACATCAAAAGAGACAGTGCCCATATAAAGAAGCATACCGGAGATGTAGATTAGAGGGGCAAAAAGGAAGATCCCTTGACGACGAAGTAAAACGGAGAGGATTAACCAGGCAAGTCGCTGGGGAAAAGAGCGAGGCGGTTGCTGAGCTTGAGTGAAGCGGGCACCCTTAGAGCGAGAGTGGCGGAGACGAGGGGACCGGAGAGGAGAGGGCGGCGGTGACGGAGTTGAGTGGCCACTGCTGGGCAGCCGATTATATGGGTGCATTTGGTACCACCCCAAAATTCCACTAATCTACATCATATGGGATGAAAATGGAAGTGTCCTATGTGAATGAATCGGCCATAAATTCACAGATTTGCGAGGAACAAACGGAAACTAGAGCGACCCTTTTTTGAAATTGAACACACAGAAACGATTTGAAGAGGAAGAGACGAAATGGAAGAGGTTTCTTGGTATTCTCAGAAGAGCTATTTTGGGTTTTGGGAAGAAAAGAATTTTGTTTTTGGTTCCAATGAGCGGAATGGAACAGAATTACTCTCCTTTTGCTCCTCTTTTTTTCTCTTAAAAAATCATTCCTTTTTCCCAATTTTCAATCTTAATTACATTAAATTTCCCCTTTCCCCACTTTCTTATATCAATCGCCCTTTCTTGTGTTTAACTTTTTTTTTTTTTTTTAAATTTTCTTTTTAACATTACAACATTTACTCATAATTATTCACAAATCAAATGAAAGGAACAGGTCATTTCATTATGGTACAGAAAATAAATTTATTTAGGGGAGGGGCTGCACCAGGAGGAGAGGAGATCTGCCTCAATGGGAGGGTACCCGTGGCCACCCATTAAAGATGCCTTTTTTTTGTTTCCATATCTATCAACTTATTAAAACTTCCTTTTCTTTAACCTTCATTACCAATTTTCTTTATCATACTTTACGTTTTACAATTTTCGAATAAAATTTTAATTTTTCAGTTTCACGTCTTCTAAATGTTGTTGTAAATTAATATTTATATTATATAAAACATATAGTATACGTTATAATAAATATTTTGAATTGGAGTATGGATTAAAGAATTAACAACTAAACGTGACAATGTATTAAAATTAAGTTAACTTTCGAATCATAAAAAGTCAACTAAATTGGTTCTTAATATTTAGCCAATAATTAGGTAATTTATTTTTATAGTTTCTTGTTTTTTTAAAAATGAAAATGATAATTTTTTCTTGTTCGTTCCTTGTTTTAAGGGAAAAGGTTGTTTCCTATTCCCTATCATATCAAACAAATAAAAGAGTTTAAAACTAAAAATTTTAAAATTGCTATTATTTTAATTTTTTTTTGAGGAAAAGAAAAAAAAACTAGGGTAACAAATTGGAGCATGAATTATATAATTCAATATCGGTGACATTTTTTCTTTATAAAAATAATTATCTTTGTTCCGGAATTTTTCAAATATACACGCCACTTGTATGCAGATGTAAAGGTACATTACCAGCGGTAAAATGATGAGTATTGAAATTCATGGCACGAGTTCGGAAGGAAAAGTCTTCTTCATCTCTACATCCTCGAGAATCAGAATGAGATTCTTCGTACCAATTGAATTTTCTAAACGAAATATCTCCATTTTTTTATATAATTTTTAAGTTCGTTTAAAAAATTAATAAATAATTTTTATTTTTCAATATAATCTCTACTGAAAAAGAGTAAAACATTCTAATAAATCTAATAATATTTCAATGGTACATAATGTTCATGTGGTATTATGGAAGGATTTCAGAGTTGAGACGATTGTTATTGTGGGTTGGTTGAAATTGGGTTTCGTCACTGCCTTGGACGTACTAAATTCTCAACGTGTCTCTCTTTTTAGGTATTAAACTCAAACGACGTATGAACACGTACTCAACTACTAATATACGTTCATAAATTTAGAGAACGGTGCAAGAGTGGGAAGGGAGAAATCTCCAATTTACCCTCATAAGTTATTGCATCGTTACATCACAGCTGATCCAAACGCTTTGTTTTGAACATTTAAAGTTGTACCAGAATGGTTCATTAAATTAACATTTAACATTCCTTTTCTCACGTTACATCAAGTAATTTCTTTACACGTGTTAATGTACAATTGATGGTGATGGAGGTTTGGTGACAGGCGGCCATCTAGATCAGAATAATTATGGTTTTGACGACACAAAACATTATCCCAACATCACCTCTCAACCATAAACACAAAAGATACTTTGTTTTACTAGAAAAGCTAAGAATAATTTCATACTTTTCAAGTTTATTTCCATTTAGAATGAGTTGCGTTTAAAACTTAACCATTTAAATTTAATTTGATTTTTAAATATGGTAAAACCCGAGTCGAACCTTCCATCTTCAAAAGGGAAAATAAATGAACGTAATGGTTCAAATAGACCGACAATCTATTTCAATCATAGACCGAAAATTAAGGTTGTCATTGCATGTTTCAGATGTCTGCCATGAGTAGAAGAATTAATATAAAACATTCCATAAACAATATTGTGAAGTTGAGTGTTTGTAAAATTTATTTAAAATAAAAGTAAGCATCAATAGAAAAGCAAAAATGGAGTAACAACACGTTCAAAGTAATGAAAATGCTCTGAACTAATTTAAGGACTACAATTTAAACACAAATGCAACTACTCTAGCTTCGATTCATGGCATTTATAACAACATCGTCGTGTGTATAAGGGCGTCTTAACTTCACCAGAAAAAAAGTAGCACGTGACTTGAGTATTTAAAAATACTAAGTAGCTCTACTATTAGAGTAAAAAAATGCAATCATGTTGGAATCTATCCTTTTATCATTATCATGACCTTGGTTTTACTTTCCAGCCGAGGCTGATTGGATGTGTATTACTTCTTTACACACGACCCACGTTCATGCACATAGGCTCCAAGTAGACTTGTATATGTATGCCCTAGACCTGACCTTCGACTAGCGTACACTCACACTACTCAAAAAATTGTGGAGGGAAAGAATTGCATATAATATCATGGTGTACATAATATCGTAGTGTGCATGGTCTTTCAAGTATTCCAACAACGTAGAAGTTTTTCTACCCTCCACAAGATCTTTCTTGCTATGACTCGAACACAGTATGAAGACTTATGGGAGCCTCTTCAAAGAAAATTCCAAAACGGAACCGAGAAAAGAGTTTGAAATTGGGATGAAGACGAGAGGCGGGGGAGACGAGAAAGGACGAGGGAAACAAGGAAGGACGAGGGAAACAAGGAAGGACGGGGCAGCAGGCGATGCCTGCACTCTTCCAACGCAATTTTCAAAAGGGGACCACCTTGAGTGTGTTAAAGGGAGATGATAAACAATTACACACCAAATTTAAAAATAAGAAATTATATTATACAAATAATTTGTACAATATTTCACCACAAAATATTATTTAAGTCGATGCTAGCACATGAGTGGAAATACATTATATAATGAGTTTGTATATGACTGGACCTTTTCATATTTAAGTTAATTAAAATTTCATTATTGTAAAATGGCATCGCCCAGACTTGAATTGGAGATCTTCGGTAATATAAATATCTAACGAGCATGTGTTACTAAATAAGACTAGACTTGTGTCAGAAAAGATGTTAAGATGAGATCTAGAGGGACCTCATGCATATGGTGTGTACATAAGCATAGGGATATTTCCCTAGAGATGATGAGTGCGAAGCTATGATGATGAGGGTGTTCCCAGGAAGTATGACACTAGTATTATAATATATCACTAGTCCATAGGGTCAAATGTATGAGTCATTATATATTTCCTATTTCAAGAAAAAATGATTTAGATATTTTAAAAATAAAAATACCTAAAATAAAAATACTTAAATAGTTGAGGTATTTTAGGAATAAATATACTCCATTATTTTATGAAAAAGATTGAGATATTTTTAGGGAAGAGGGTGGAAAATGTTTAAGAATTAAATTACTCCACCCTACCTAGTTTTTCATCCCAAGAAATACCGAACACATAGTAGGATTCTAGAGAGTGTCTTGTAATCTCTTCTCGATTGGTCTTTAATAGAGTGTGCGAGTGTTTCCACATATCGTTGTGTTGTGTTCAACAATATGGTATCAGAGCAAGGTTGGTTTAGGATGTTTGATCTCTTGGAATTCTTAGTATGCTTTGTGATTGCAGCTCTGTCTGATCTTCCACATCTAAAACGATTTCTTGAGCTTATTATTGAGTGAGTTTCTTTGTGTTGTGAGTAGTCCGTTAGTATGCTCTGTGGTTGCAGCTCTATTTGATCTTCCACATCTGAGTCGATTTCTTGAAATTATTATTGAGTGAGTTTCTTTGTGTCGCGAGTAGTACGTGACTCTATAAGTTTTGTGTCAAAAAGGCTTGTTTGGTATTATTGAAGTATTGCAAACACAATGTGTGATTTCCAAATAGTTGGAGAAATCAAGAAACTCAACAACAACTACAACACGTGGACAACATGCATGATGTTCTATTTACAAGTACATGATCTTTGAGAGATAATTGGCAGGAGTGAAACTTCAATGTTTTCCTTGAAGACAACAATCGAAGAATAGATGTTAGAGCATATTTGGGAAGAAGCATGAGATACGTTCGTGATGTTGTTCTCAAAGAAGAACGATACGAGACTACAACTTCTAGAGAACGAACTATTATCAATTTTACAACATCACATGACGATTGCTCAGTATTTCTACAAAGTCAAGTATTTCCACAAAGTCAAGTTGCTCTACTGAGAGATTCATTTTGACTTCAATCACCGATTTACAATGTCGATTATTCTCAAGAGTAAGCTTAATACTCTAAATTAATTGAGGAGAAATGTTAATGAAGGGAAGCAAATCGATAGTTAAATTTATAATCTACATTTCCTATTTAAATAAATTCTAAATAGATTTTTGAAAGAACTGAGATTTTAGAAAATTAAAATCCTTCTTTATTTTAGTTTAAAAAATGAAAAAGAAAAAACAAATCCTAACATATTATACATTAAAAAAAAAAAACAACAAAGGTAAAAACTATTATAAATAAATAAAATACTAAATCTAAAAATGGCATATATATATATATTTGGACATTCTATATTAAAATAGAAATTCACAAATACATTCACACGTAACCTAAAATAATAAATAAATAAATAAAATTTTCTGTTACGACAAATAATGAGGAAGATCAAATCCATGTATATGAGAAAAGCATAACTTGGAGGCCAAGTTAAAAACAAAAAACCATTTGAATTTTGATTATTTTTAAAAAAAATATTTTTTTCCTAAATTGTAAAAAAATACTCCTAAATTTTCTCTATCATTTTAAAAATATTAGATATATATATATATATAAATTAAAAAAATACAACATTACTCTGATAATAATGTGGGACGATGATAATAAATAATTATAACATTTGCGTGAATTAATTATAAATTATTACATTTTTAAATTTTGGTTAAATAATGTCTAATAAATTTATTTTTTAAAAAATAATTGATTTACTAAATAAAATTTAATGTTTCTTTACTCACAAACTTTTTAATTTTTGTTAAGTAATTTGGAACAAAATATTAATAATTT